GGCCAAGTATAATATAGCAAGGAACAGATTTCCAGTCCTAATTAAAATAGAAAGAGGTTTTAGACCTACAGAACTGTCAAGGTTAGTAAACAACACACAATGACATTATCTTTGTTACAAGCTGTTTTGTGATGTAAGAGGTGTGCCAGTGACAGTGACAGTGAAACAAAATCAATCTCGACACAAAACAGTAGTACCCTGTGAAGGAGAGGCAAGCATAGGCATTTTCTAAGATAGCAGTTTGCATTGTGGTCTAGATTTGGTACAAACATCTTTTTGTTCATGCTGTCAAATATGGCACGGTTTTTAATGAAGCTAGACCACAATGCACCATGAGCTTGTATTTCAGAAGGTTTATTAGCCATATACACCTACTTGCGAAAACGTTTTCATAAAAAATAGGCCATTTGTATTTTAGTAAAAAGGAATAAATTAAAAAGACAAAAGAAGATCACTGAGGCTGAACTCTTTCTTTTGTTTTGTTTTAATTTATTCCTTTTTACTAAATTCGAATGTTCTATTTTCTATGACAACGTTTCTGCAAGTAGGTGTATATATGTACACTAATGGTGTAAACTAGAGGTAAACTGGTGTGAGCTGCATCAGTGTTTCTAATGAAACAGTTGTGTAAAAAGATAATTTAATAAACACCTTATTCACACCTGATGCTTTGGACGTTAATTCTTTGTCATAGTTAAGAGCTTGTCTTTACTCTGACAAAGTATACACTAACCTATCCCTAATGACCAATAGAGGAGGGTGGGATTGAAAACTAACAACATTCGCTCACAGTGTCTTAGTATTCACAACAATCACATAAAGATGGCTCAGTGCAAACGAACCTACTAAGGAGGGAGGACTGTGCTAGACTGCAAATCATGTGTGCATGCCTAAGGTTTGATTGCATTTGCTGCATTAACAAAATTTATTATTTTTTTAAAGGATGAAACGAACCCATGCTGACTTTAAGAGGACTGTTCTTGACATTGCATATGAACGTCAGTTTGAAGAAAAACCTTTCCCTCATATTGAAGCTGTAGAAAAAGCCATGGAACATTTTGAAAACTTAGTCCATGAACATGCACAGGCACATGGCACTCATGCTGCAGGGAACATGTAAGCAAAATATTTTAAATAATTATTTTTGGATTATAGCACTTACAGTCAAATGACATGAAGCGCGTCCCCTCAAAACACCATTATTCAATTCATTATTTGATTCTTGGTCAATTCAACATTACATTTTATTGAAATCAAATTTGAATTCAAACTTCAAAATTTGATTGGATTATTGATCGGATTTTCATAAAGCCTTCTCTTCGTATTTCACTGTCTTGTAAACTTGCTGGTCTTTTGTAATTTCCACAAGTCGATGCATTGCAATATGCTGTCTGTTAATTTCGTTGGATCTGTTCCTTCTCGTGAGAAAGGAGTGACGGTCTCTGGAAAGCTGGAAATGCTGTTGTTTTCTGTCATTATCAGAGTTCGAGATTTAAATTTAATTTTGTATTCAACTGAAGTTTGAAAACGAAAAATAAAAGAAAAATCCAATAATGCATTGAATACTGAACTATTCAGGGGGCGTGCTTCATGTCTTTTGAACCTGTAGTCCTAGACTAGTTTGCAGGCAACTTAAAGCCTTACATTACATGTAACATCAGGGAGTAACCCTCTGATGCTTGACTGCTTGTCCCTAGATGGGCTTGTTGTTGCAAGGAACACCTAATTACGATGCTGTTATTAAAAATGACATTATGCTATAGGTCAGAAGTTTACATGGCAGATATGGTCAGTGGATTGTCACATATGATATGGAATGAAGTGCCAAACCGAAAAGAAATATCAAGTCATTCCTTTACAGCCTTGAAAAAGTTCCTGGGGCTGATAGGTGATGTAAGTGAATAGTGATAGGTGTGAAAAAATTGAAT